CTGAATAGCCAGGAAGAGGACTGTCTTTCCGATTATGAAGTGGCTGAGAGTTGACAGAGTTGTAAGAAATCTCAGGCAGATCTTGATGTTTCAGCACAAACTTCACTTCTGCAGTAGAGTGAGTATTTCCTTTTTCATCTTTAAATAAAACGCGCTTTCTTGAGGACGCTTTTTCAGCTGTTTTTTGTCTTTGTTTTGTTCTAGGTTTCTTCTTTCCATCATCTGCTGTTTTATCAGCCTGATTAATCTTTTTCTTTTTCTTGGCAGATACGGTGGGGCTAGCAAATTTCTTTTTACATTTCTTAACCTGAGTTTTTGCTCGACTATTTTTTCCTACACTAGAATTAACAGTCTTGCTGTTGTACATATTGGGCCCCCTATTAAATAAAGCTTCTCTGTCCAGGTTGGTCAAAATTTCTTCTGCTTTTGGATCAGTGGGAGACCAGCAGCGAGGTGGAGATGTGTTTACTGGGCTTGTGCTTCTCTCAGAAAGGAAACCTAACTTAGACATAACATCACTATAGTTACAGTCACAGTCTTCAGCTTCAGCACTGTAGGACGGTGAAGGAGGAGAAAGAATTGTATGAGTCCTTTTTCTGAAAGATAAAGTTCTTTTAATATTTTTACTACCTGTTTTTTGTGGTTTTCCAGCTTTTTTCTTGGTTGACTTATGTTTTGCTTTCCTTTTGTGACTTTTCTTTGGTGTTAGTGGATAAATAGGATATTTGGTTGCAGGAGAGTCAGGAACTTTTGGCCAAAAGTCCTTTAAAGGTGCAAGCTTTTTATATAAGTTCATCTTTTCCTCTGTGAGTACTACTCTTTCCTCACTAGAATCTACTTTCCCTAGTTTAACAAGCATATTTTTTCTCCCTCTAAATCTATTGATGATAATATATTTAATAATAACAGGTGGCAATTTTTTAGAAAGTTTTCTACGCTTTCGAGACTTCTGAGGCCCATCCGAACTTTCAACACCTTCTATCGCTTGAGGTAGATTAATTTTTGAGTTGTGTGCGACAAAGCTTGATTCACTGTCTTCAGTCTCATAATTTACCTTCCGTTTCGTTCGGAGCGTATATTTATTCCCACATAATCCAAATGACTGCTCAGTTTCAAGAGATCCATCTGCAAACTGGCAGTCAGTATAATTAGCAGTACTTGTAGGCATTTTGTTTTCAAAAGCCTCAAGAGGAACTTGAACTAAGTCACTAGGTAAAGCACTATCCTTATCAGGAATGTTACTACAAGCATTACCTTGTGTATAGCAGCTTTCCTTCACTGATGCAACATCATTTACACTTGCAGGCTCCTGATGATTGATAAAACTATGTTTCTTTTTATTCAGCTTCAACCTGGACTGTTTGTTGCCTTGCTGTAATTTATATGTCACGGGAGCTAACTTCTGTGGTCGACTGAGACAATTAGAAAGAACAACACTAGGAAAGAACATGTAATGTGCTGCTTGTTGACTGAGGCTTGGCTTTTCTGCCTTATGCTCCTGAAATTCTTCATACCTAATTTTAAGCTTATTAAGGCCACCTTCATCAGTGTTATTTTCAAGTGAATGTACCACAGTTCGACTGCCTCCTGAACAAGATACCAATTCACAATTTTCTGTAACTGTTGCTGGAAAAAAACTATTTATATTTGCACTGCTGGATTTTTCATTTACTTCAGAGGACATTTTACCTTTGGAGTGGCTGGAGTGGCTCAAATCGGAAAAGTTAAATAAGTTTTTATTCAACATGCTGTCACCAATATGGCGGCCCACATGCACAAAAGAGACATCCTTTTCAGCCTTTCGGATGCTAGTATACTTCCTACTAGGTATCTGCCTGCTCACTGATGAAATATCATCTTCATATTCAAAAATATTATTTTCACATGAAGGAACTGGGAGAGTGTCTTTCTTGTTACTCTCTTTGTGTGAGTTTTCTGCATGGGTACTATTGCTGAATGGAGTTAGGTACTTTGCTGAGTAAGTGCTTTCTTTTGTAAGAGCATGGACTGAAAGTTCAGGTCTTGTTTCTGTGTTTGGTTGCGAGAGGTCTTCTACTAAATCTTCATTATTCAAAACATGGTTAGAAAGGGCACTTGTGTGTTTACACTGAAAAGTAATTTTAGCAGAAGATGGGGGTTCTAGCGTAGCAGCATCTTTGTGAAAGATTGAGGTCTTTACAGACATTTTGCTTGTTGCAATGACGGAGGAGTGAGTTCGAGAACTTTCATTATTCAAAGGATTGTCTGAAATGGAAGACAAGCAATTTTACTCTAGTTTTCCTGTAAAAAAAAAAATAACCTAAGGCATTAACCATTTTAATGACATTTTCCTGAAAGCCCTCCCAGCCAAAGAAGAAACAAAACTCTTCTAAATCACATTACATTTAAGATCATGACATCTACAGATCCTGAGCACATGAGCTGCTTTATAAAATCACGTCGTCAGTATATTTGTGTCTCAGCCGTTCTGTCAGTTACTCCTAAATGGAAACCTTGCATACAATTGCCAAAGATTTCACGCTGGTTTTCTGAAAGAAGGCTTCTAAAATCACTTTCAGATAACTAAATACAGATTGATTTCTAGAAAAGCTTGTATCCTGCTTTATCCCTGAGAAGTACGCATACTCATTGGCTCTGAAAAACAAAGGACTTATTTAAATATGACTTTCCCCATATAGAAAAGTCATTGCACAGAAAGCTGAAGTATTGTCGTACAACATGGCAAGGGCTTTGTATTAACTGTCCTGTGTGCTAAGCATAGGTACTTTGCTGCACTTTTATAAAGCAGAGCAATCCACCACCCGTTCAGGTGTTTATGCAAGGAGCTCACATCATTTAGTGAGATCATGAATTCATATCCATGCATTAACATTCCCACACAGATCTGTGACCAGCAAGTGCTGCGGTAACTGTCCTGTGCAGACTCATCACATGATACCTGGGATGATTTCTCTCGCTGATAGTTTCACCGCATTTACTGCAGGGTAAGTGTGGACAGGCAGGTGGTAACTCACAAATTAACAACTGGTTTGCAGCAACTGTGTGCTTGCTCATAACCACAATGAGCACCAAATAAATTGAAGGAGTTTATTCCTCTGCAAAGAGGCAGTGACCACAGAGCTCCTGGCACACAGCAATTTGTTCATGTGTCCACATCTTTAGCTGAAATATTGAAGGGGGATAGGAGTTATGAAACATGCTGTATGACCTGAAAGCAGGCACTGCACACTGTCGTACTAGACGGGGGATCCTTTGGGCCTTTACTGTAAGTCTCAACCAATTTGGGGATTATCTTAGATTCATGCTGCCTTCAGCTTAGAAATTTATTTGTTGCCAGGTGAGACAAATAAAAGGAAGTCTCAATCTGTTTCTAATAACCTTTTCTAATGCATACACAGAGTCCCTCAGCTGTGAAACACAGCTGGGACATGCTGCCTATGATTATTTGAGGGTAGGAGTCCACACAAAGAATGAGGATGATTAACTGAAAACCAAGAAAATGGGAGTTCAGTGAAGTGTCAATGAACACGTGCAAGATACCTGACTATTCAGATAAAAAAATTACAAAAATACTTGTCAGTCAGTCAGAAGTTACGGACACAGATTCATGTGTGGATAAGCATTTTCTAATTTAGATGAACTCACTGACATCTGGTTTGAATTTACTGTATCTCCTATTATAAGAAATTGATGCAAAAGTTCACAGCAGTAAACTCATTCTATGCTGACACTCTTCTTCTGCAAGTGATATTTCATATACTTAAAATATTCTAAAATTTAAACAGTGATTTAAGATACAGTCTCATTAGCCAGAAGCATCCCTTTTTACATTAAATTACAAAGTACTGCAAATAAGGAAATTACAATTGTATATTTTTCAAAACCAAATCATATTAGTAGTACATCAAGTCACGTGTTAACCCTACCATTATACCTTTAAACCAAAGGAAAAAGCAAACTACGGTTTAAACAGTGAACACAAAAGAATAGCTGTGGTTGTCTATGTAATAAGATCATATAGGTCACTTTCTCTAATACAGAATTGCTAATAGATATATTAAGACATATGTATTTTATACACTAATATATGATGTTTGTTATTTTTGTCAAATAGCTTCAAGAGACACAAACTAATACAGAAATTTTGTAAAGGATTACATTCCTGCCCCAGAGAGCAAATGCAACAATAGGAAATTAGGTACATGCATGAGCACAAACAAGATTTTACATTAACCAATTTGTACTATGGATTAAGAAAGAAGCTTCTGTACAAAGTGATGTTAACCACAAATTTCAAATTTTAAAGGCAATGAAGTATGACTAATACAACATTTCTAAACAAAGAAGAACAATTACTGTTGATTAGACCAAGAACAAAAGCGAACCTAATACTGAGAAAACCCTGGATACAGATATGTATTTTTCCCCACAAGATGCATACATTTTACATTGTTTTACTCAACCGAATTTTATAAATGTGAAAATATGTAGATTGTCTAATGAAACAAATAATGATATTTATATATTTGCGTAACCTCAAAGTGCGCATTCTATTAACTAAGGTTATTTTGATCAAAGACAGCAGGTTATAAAGAGATGGCAAGAGATATCTCTACAGATTAATTTAATTTTTTTATAGATTTTGAAAGGTAGTTTCTTCTTCATCAGCTTTGCCACTGCATAGTTTTAACTCATGCAATCCCAAGATGTGAACATGCAATCTGCTGAATGAAACATAGGCTCAAACAAAGGCTCACTGTATTTAACATGTGTGGCAAGTACTTGCGAAGCAAGGAACCATCTAAATTTACACAATAATACATTTACTATTTACACTGAAATCCTAGCAGGATAAATGATCCTACAGAATCATTGATTTTAACACCATATTTGCATAACAAATAGTAACAGAAAAATACCCCTTGCAACAAGGTAACTATCTTTTCCATAAAACTAATTGAACAATTCCCTTTTTTGGGTCATTAATACAATAGGAAAAGCAGATTCTGGTAATTCATAGAGGGCATTAAGATTAAAATATCGTTGGCTTATAAGGAAGATGTCAAGGGCCTGCTTCTGCAATCCATTGAGAGCATTTCCTTCCAATTGAAACAAGAATTGAAAACGGTTAGCGCTTTTGAGAATTAGCAAATTGATCTGAAAACGAACTGTGACCCAGGTAATAATTAAACTTTCAAAGCTGTTTTTCTATTTACTTACCACCATTTTCATCTGCAGTCCCATCTAACTGAGGTATAGAGAGATTAGTTAGGAGCATATTGTTACCACTCCACTCCATTTCTTCCTCTGAAGATGAATCCTCTTCCGTTGAACTTCGATGCATGTTTTTGCCAGCTGACCTAGAAAAAATGAAGGAACTAATTAATGCACAATACTTTTCTTAGAAAATACCAATAGCCACAGGGAACCTCAAAATCAGAGGGGTGTGATGCTATATGGTTGTGTAACTTGGGGCAGCAAAGGGAAAGAAACCAAAAAATTTGTTACATTTCTCACTGAGAAACTCAAAATATTATTCAATGTTACTATTTTAAGAGGCAACAGTGGTAGCCGACCATTTAAAAACTACAGGCAAAACCAGCATGATTCACTAGCTTAAGAAGTTAGAGAAAAGGCATTTAGATACTTAATTTTATTTCAATTTTACCGGAATTTAATTTAATTGCTTGAAAGTGCTTGAAATTTGAAGACTAAACCAACTATGCAAAATTATTTCAGTTCAGCTCTTAGCAAACAGATGTTTACTTTTTTTATTTTTTAAAAAAAGGAATCTTTACTGAATTATAACAATTCTGCCTCTTGGCAGGCTTAACTAAAGCACAGCCACCAGAACAATGCTTGTTTCCATTCCTCCTTGAACATTCTGAAGTTGCTGTTGCTAATACTTAAGCCGCTTTTACTAAGTTAACTGTTCTACGCTGCCATTTTTACAGTCATAAATCTGCTGGGGGAAAAAAAAAAAAAAGAAGTAAATCTACAAAGAAAAGCTGCTATAAATTTTTCAGGTTTTTAAGGTGTCATGGCTTTATATGGGGAAAAAAAAGAAAAAAATATATAGAAAAACACCAGAAACAAACCCTCCGGTATATTGCAACTCTAGAAGCACTTAGGAATTTGATTTCTTCTTCTTTAAAATAAAGCACAAGATGGACATAATTCTTCATAGAAATAACCTATTCTGTGGCTACAAGAGAGAAATCTAGACAAATATTAAGGAACTGAGGTTTGGGTTTTTTTTTTTGTTTGGGTTTTTTGTGTGTGTTTGTTTTTTGTTTTTAAGGTAATAATAATCTATCCTAGTAGCTTGATATATGAAAACAGTATTGTGTAGTACCTTAAAAGGTATAAATACAACTGTTTTGAAGTTACAGGATGGAAAATCCCCAATAACCTAAATACAGTCTACTTCTGAAGAACTTTTATCTGTGGAGTTCGACCAGAGCAGGAGTTGTATGTATAATAGCACCACAGACATCTGAATGTGCTCAGCACTGAGCCGACTTAGATCAAGCCATGTCTACTAGTTCAGGAACAATAGGCTCAAATATGGCTCCATAATTTCCAGACTAACTCAAATCTGGAAGCAGCATGACTTGGAAGAGAGACCTAACTAACAAGCATAGCTAGGTACACAGTGGCCACGACCTAAGTGAGCTTAGTTCTCCCTCTTCTATGCTCCCAAAACATGAAAAAAGTACAGTGCAAAGACATTCAGCTCTATATGCAAATGAATATCAAACTGGGGAGAGCAATCGACACTCTGGAGAACAGGGCTGCTATTCCAAGAGATCTCAATAGGTTGGGGAATAAGCTGACAGGAACCTCATGGACTTCAAAAAAAGACAAATCCAAATGTCCCACAATGGGATGAAATAACCCCATGCACTGGTAACAGGCAGTGAGAGAGCTAGCTAGGCAGTGGCTTTGCAGAAAAGAATGCAAAAGCCCTGGTGGACAACTAGTTGAACCTGAGAGTGTGCTGTGTGCCTGTGTAGCAAAGGCGGCCAGTTGCATCTTGGGCTGTGACTGCAACACTGTAGCCAATTTCAGTAGGTGTGAGGCTGCATATGGAGTATTGTGCTCAGTTTGGGGCATCCCACTACAAGACAGACACTGACAAACTGGAGGAAATCCAGCTGAGGAACACTAGAGTGACTGGGGGCCGAAGCACACGATGTATAAGGAGAGGCTGAGGGAACAGGATTTATTCAGCCTTGGGAAAAAAGTAAGAGGAGATCTTGTTGCACTTGTCAAGTATCTGATGAATAGGTATAAAGAAGATGAAACCAGATTCAGAGGTGTGTGGTGATATGAAAAGGGCAATGGGCACAGGGCTGCCTCAGAGAATGTTATGTACAAGGAAAACATTCTTCATTACGAGGGTGTTCAAACACTGGAACAGTTGCCCACATAGGCTATGCAATCTCTGTCTTTGGAGATACTTAACCCTTGACCAGACAAGGCCCTGAGCAACTGATCCATCCAAAGCTGCCTGGACAAGGGCACTGGACTACATAGCATTTAGATGTTTCTTCCAACCTGAATTATGCTATAATCCTGTGCATGAAGCAAATCTTGGTCAACTTCAGTAAACCCAGTTAGGCTGGAGACAACTTGCAGATAACAACCATGATAACACCATACCTGAACCAGTCCAGGTCTTGATGGGCTTTCTGCTCCAGTTCAGCACAAATCAAACCCAAGCCATTCAATTCAGTCAGTAGGGTGTTGTTACTCCTCATTATCTCAATATATTTTCTGAGATAATGGAAGATTGGGGAATACCCAATAACAGAAAAGTGATACTATGGATACGGTAGGATGCATTAGGAAGCAGTACAGATAGAATGAGCCTGAGCAGAAAAACATTGGATCCATTGTTAGACTCAATCTGGCTCTTTCTGCATGAGCAGAATCATGCAGGGGGCAGAGATACTCATGCTCTCTTCTGAAGTCAGTCCAAATTCTGCAGAGATCACACTGAAGCAAAGCTTGTAATTCCCTCTGAACACGAGTTGGCTCCCTGTGGAGGCACCTGGTATGTACATTCTCCCTAGCGCTTTCTGTCTGGGATTAAGATGTAGGCATATATGAGCAAGCTATTTGTGAGACAGCTCATCAAGTCTTTAAGTTTTTAAATAGAATTCTTTATTGCATAAAAGCAGTTAATTGCTTCAGGATCCTACCTGTCTCTAGTACAGTCATGCCCATACAGAGCTATGCCTGAGCTAATAAGTTCTGCAAGATATAGGCTGGTTTTACTAAACTGAAGACTATCGTTAAGTGTTTTAGATGGAAATTCCAACTTTTCAGACTACTGTCAGGAAGAAAACAAAGAAAATCAAAGGTCAGATAGGAAAAGTAGCTTTAGAGATGAATTGCCTCTATAACTAGGAAACTAATGATCTAACTTCTGATTCTGTTACAACTTTTCTGTATGTCTTCAGCAAAGAAAAGATTAAGTATTTCTACGCCTCTCTTGCTCCCTGAATGATAGTATAATTATGATTTCTGATGTTAAAAAAAAAATATATCAAAATGTTACATCTGTGAATTCTCTCATCTTTCAAATAGAATTATAAATACCAGAAGGTCTGCCCAAAGCAGGGGTGACGAGAAACTGGATATAGCTTCTTTCAATGTCTGTCAGTGCAGGCTGTACAAAAGGTCATTACAACCTGAGAAGGTGTTCCAAGAATCCTGGCCTTAAAAATATTCAAGCTGCTGACCTTTAGCAGTCCAGCAGAGTAAGCAACATTCATGTTTTGATTTAAGCTTTGAGCATGGAACAAATGGGTATTTTTCTCAGGCTTCTGGGTCAGTCTTCACAAGAATACTTCATAAATATTCACTTCAGTAAAAGTTACAGGCACATGAGATGTACAAGATACACCTTAACATTTGTACTACATCCAAGGTGTGACCTTAAAAGGAGGTTACAACTAAAGTTTTTTGTATTTGGTCTTGTAGGACAAAAAAAACCTACTCAATTTTTCCTCAAAGAGCAAACTAGAAGCCTAGGTCTAGCCAAGCCTAAACATTTAATCTTTATTTCCATATAAAACTGACGATTCACAGCATCATCTAAAACAACTGCATTCTATCCCAAGATCTGCATAGATTTTTCCAATGCTGTCAACAGAGACCTCTCTACAGCTCACTGGGCTCATAGCACACTTGAAAAGAGGGTGGGAGGGAGGAAGGATCTGGCAGAAAAGAACATATTAAGAAAAGAAAATCACATATATACCTTCTTTTTGGCCCAGGCTCTTCAATGCTACTGTCCCACCTTTGGGACATTAACAAGCTAAGTTCCATTTCTTCTTTCTCGCACTGTGGCTCATTTTCTTCATCATCACTGTTCTGAGAATTTCGACAGCTTCCAAGAGAACGATGGTGAGAGTGTGTTTTGTGATGTCCCATCTGATATCCATCATTCTCCAGTCCAGCCAACAGATCAATCATGGCCTCATCAGCACTATTGTCCACTGCAGAAAAAGCCCATACAAGTAGAATCTACATTTTGTTCTACTTGTAAATGACTAGTTATAGTCTACCAGTAACAAACAAAACTAAATAAACAAAACCAAAAAAACCCTCAATATTTTAAAATCTACTGGTTTGTTACTGTCTAAAGCAAGGCAGGCTACAGAAACAAAGTTCTTTTCATATCATTTTTTCAAGTTTTATGATTTGTTATCTTTTCTAGCTCTTTCTCTAGAATCTTGGCAGCCGCCTTTTTTATTATTTCTGCCCTCCTCTTCTGATTGTAGTAGATTTAGTGGAAGCACTTTTCTCTCTCCCCCCCGCCCCATTACCTCCTCACATTAAGTAAAACCTCACTCTCCCCTTTTATTTCAGCATGAGTGCCAGCTTATGAAGCATCACTGCCTTCTCTTGCTCTCACCATTTCAATGGCTGCATTAACTTTGTTGGGCACTTCTCTCTGTATCACTTGGAAGACTTTCAATCACTGCATCTCATAAAAGGTGATGCTGATTTTGACCAACTAGTTCCTCTTTCCTTCTGTCCTTTACTATAATGCTTAATTTCACCTCCCTTTTATTTTTGCTATAACCTATTCTCTTCCTAGGTTCCCCTAGTTTATCTGATTCCACTCCTCCCTTAAATTTTATTTTTATTTTCCTCTATTTGACCCAAGCTTACACTAACTCATGCACTTGCCTTCTCATTCTTGATTTTTATTTCTTAAACATCCTACCAAGTCACAATTTCTTCTCACTCTCCTCCTGCTTACCTTTCATCTGACCTCATAACCAATTTATGATCTCCAGTCTACCAGGCATCTTTGTTACTTCTCTCTCCTTCTCCTCTGGCTGAAGAACTACAATCTCTACTTTCCTTCCTCAGGAAATATCCTATGATTTACAATGATCCTGAGAATCATATAAAATAGGTCTCAACATCGGTGAGGAAGGCATTTTCCATATTTTACAAAGGCTTCACAAGACACCATGCAATCGTTTAGAATGGAAACCATCCCCTTTGCCAGAGTTCTGAATTAACCCACTTTCAATTGTGCTTTCTGTTCTTGGCTCCTTGCCCTTTGTGAGGTCCATCATTAAAGTCCAACCTTTACTTCCCATTAATATAAACCTTGTTGTGTACTTCACAGCAGCATCAGAAGAAGTAGTGTGCTTCACAGCCCCTGTGACACTATGACTCTACAAAGACACAGTAAAGACTAGTCCATACTATGAAAGAGCATAAGAGACCCAAAGATGCAGCATGTTACTTATGGTCACACAAGACACCAGCAATTAGTAGTCCCATGATAAAAAGGGGGAAAAAAAAAAAGGGGGGGGGGGGGGA